TAACTAGTTTAAAATAAATTTTAGGCCCAAAGGAGAAACAGTCTCCNAGAGGAGAAAGAAGAGATCTGATGAAGAGGATAGAGTTTAGAAAGTTAACAAAGCAAGAAAAAAAAAAGAGAAGGAAGCTATTCCGCAGGTATAAACTCTGATTTCTTTCCCTACTTTTGGATTTAATCCCTTAAATCTTTGATTGCAGTGAATGGGTTCACAACCACAGCAATCGAGAGCAATTGTGGCGATACCAAATTCACCCAAAGTTCCAGATATAGGAGTTTNAAATTGTGGCGTTACCAAATTCACCCAAAGTTCCAGATATAGGAGTTTTTAAATCCTTACATTTGGTGCCGCGTAATGATTGCAAGAGTTTCATACCCTTTTGAGAAATCGACAAGAGCCTCAGGCTCTTCGCTCACCAATAAAAATGTCTCCCTCCCTCAGCGAAGTCCACTGGTGTAAACGGACAGAAAGGAATTTTTAACTTTATTGGCCAAAAAGATGCGTTTGCAATCTTGAGTCTTTGGCTATGATGGAATGAAGCTTTTCCCCATTCCTAGTTCATTTTGTTACTAACATCCTCTGTTGCAGGAAACCAGTGACAAACGCAATTCAAGAAGGGTGGAAGGATCAACAAGAGTCTTTGACTCTTTCAATTTTCCCCATTTCGTCTACTAGCTTGCTACCAAAATTTCGGTTTGCTCACTGTTAAGAGTCTCGGACTCTTTAAAATCAGCCCGTTCCGGCGATCCCCAACTATTTCCTAAGTCACAAATTATAGGAGTTTTAAACTCCTTCATTTCGGTGCAGCACAAGAATTGCAAGAGTGTTACACTCTTTTGTGAGACCGGCAATAGTCTTCAACTCTTTCATTAAACGACAATGTGTTGTGCACTTGCAGTGCATATATAAAAATAAAAAGGGCAACAACTCATGGTGTTTAAAAGACCATTCTAAAAATCCTTCGTTGGTCTTTGAAAGACCATTCTAAAAATCTTTCTCTGGTCTTTCAAAGGCCAAATACAACGATGTTTCTTTGGTCTTTCAAAAACCACTAAAAAGAGGGCTTAATCAAAACATGCTCTTTGACTCTACATTGGAGTTTCTAACTGGAGTTTTCAATTCCCCTTTTACTCACTCTCAAGAGTGTTGGACTCTTTTGTCATGTCTTGGTTTTCATAAACCATATGAAAGAGTTTCCAACTCTCTTGAGAATAAACCTAGAATCTTTGATTCCTTAATAAATTGAAGGGCTCATTTTTGTTGAAATCAAGAGAAAGTTTTATACTCTACACAAGTATTATGGAGTTTCTAACTCCCAAAAAATTTTGGAGTCTTTGACTCCACAAGTATTTTAGCTCTTCTAGAAGGATACGATAAACATAACATGGAGCCTTTGACTCCTTTGGGTGCAAGCTGTTCATTCATCTAGAAAAGAGTTTTTTAACTCTTTAAACTTTATTTAGATTATTTGACTCCTTTACATGCAAAACAAAAAGTGAGGTCATGGACATTATTTTTCAAAGGAACCAGAGCCCAAAACTAAATTCCGAAGTCGTATGCTAATTGCAAGTCCTAGTGGTGTACAACTAAAAAGAATAAAAAAAAAAANCAAATTCACCCAAAGTTCCAGATATAGGAGTTTTTAAATCCTTACATTTGGTGCCGCGTAATGATTGCAAGAGTTTCATACCCTTTTGAGAAATCGACAAGAGCCTCAGGCTCTTCGCTCACCAATAAAAATGTCTCCCTCCCTCAGCGAAGTCCACTGGTGTAAACGGACAGAAAGGAATTTTTAACTTTATTGGCCAAAAAGATGCGTTTGCAATCTTGAGTCTTTGGCTATGATGGAATGAAGCTTTTCCCCATTCCTAGTTCATTTTGTTACTAACATCCTCTGTTGCAGGAAACCAGTGACAAACGCAATTCAAGAAGGGTGGAAGGATCAACAAGAGTCTTTGACTCTTTCAATTTTCCCCATTTCGTCTACTAGCTTGCTACCAAAATTTCGGTTTGCTCACTGTTAAGAGTCTCGGACTCTTTAAAATCAGCCCGTTCCGGCGATCCCCAACTATTTCCTAAGTCACAAATTATAGGAGTTTTAAACTCCTTCATTTCGGTGCAGCACAAGAATTGCAAGAGTGTTACACTCTTTTGTGAGACCGGCAATAGTCTTCAACTCTTTCATTAAACGACAATGTGTTGTGCACTTGCAGTGCATATATAAAAATAAAAAGGGCAACAACTCATGGTGTTTAAAAGACCATTCTAAAAATCCTTCGTTGGTCTTTGAAAGACCATTCTAAAAATCTTTCTCTGGTCTTTCAAAGGCCAAATACAACGATGTTTCTTTGGTCTTTCAAAAACCACTAAAAAGAGGGCTTAATCAAAACATGCTCTTTGACTCTACATTGGAGTTTCTAACTGGAGTTTTCAATTCCCCTTTTACTCACTCTCAAGAGTCTTGGACTCTTTTGTCATGTCTTGGTTTTCATAAACCATATGAAAGAGTTTCCAACTCTCTTGAGAATAAACCTAGCATCTTTGATTCCTTAATAAATTGAAGGGCTCATTTTTGTTGAAATCAAGAGAAAGTTTTATACTCTACACAAGTATTATGAAGTTTCTAACTCCCAAAAAATTTTGGAGTCTCTGACTCCACAAGTATTTTAGCTCTTCTAGAAGGATACGATAAACATAACATGGAGCCTTTAATTCCTTTGGGTGCAAGCTGTTCATTCATCTAGAAAAGAGTTTTTTAACTCTTCAAACTTTATTTAGATTACTTGACTCCTTTACATGCAAAACAAAAAGTGAGGTCATGGACATTATTTTTCAAAGGAACCAGAGCCCAAAACTAAATTCCGAAGTCGTATGCTAATTGCAAGTCCTAGTGGTGTACAACTAAAAAGAAAAAAAAAAAAAANATCTAAGGAGAATTCTAAAAAAAAAAAAAGAGGAGAAAGAAGAGATCTGATGAAGAGGATAGAGTTTAGAAAGTTAACAAAGCAAGAAAAAAAAAAAGAGAAGGAAGCTATTCCGCAGGTATAAACTCTGATTTCTTTCCCTACTTTTGGATTTAATCCCTTAAATCTTTGATTGCAGTGAATGGGTTCACAACCACAGCAATCGAGAGAAATTGTGGCGTTACCAAATTCACCCAAAGTTCCAGATATAGGAGTTTTTAAATCCTTACATTTGGTGCCGCGTAATGATTGCAAGAGTTTCATACCCTTTTGAGAAATCGACAAGAGCCTCAGGCTCTTCGCTCACCAATAAAAATGTCTCCCTCCCTCAGCGAAGTCCACTGGTGTAAACGGACAGAAAGGAATTTTTAACTTTATTGGCCAAAAAGATGCGTTTGCAATCTTGAGTCTTTGGCTATGATGGAATGAAGCTTTTCCCCATTCCTAGTTCATTTTGTTACTAACATCCTCTGTTGCAGGAAACCAGTGACAAACGCAATTCAAGAAGGGTGGAAGGATCAACAAGAGTCTTTGACTCTTTCAATTTTCCCCATTTCGTCTACTAGNACTGGAGTTTTTAACTCCTCTTATTTCCTTTGGTTTTGGCAGTTCACTACATTGCTACAAGAAAGACCTTACAAGACTCCCAAAGTTCCAACCCTCCTTTCCAATGGCTTTGCAGCATGAAATTATGCTATTCTAATTTGCCGTAGAAAATTTTAAGAAGCCAACTAAAGGAGTTCCTAAGTCCTTGCAGCACTGCAAAAATTTCAAGATTCAAACAAGTTCGGGTTCTTTAAGAAACCATATAACTGAAGCGAGGAGTCTTCATGTAGGCAACAACATTTTGTTAACAGAGTTTGTATCNATTCGGGTTATTTAAGAAACCATAAAACTGAAGCGAGGAGTCTTCATGTAGGCAACAACATTTTGTTAACAGAGTTTGTATCAAACTCATTATCGGCATGCCATGCATGATTAAAAAAATTATAAAAGTGAATCTATTCACTTCAAGATTGATAAACCAACACACTAATTTCAAGTATTCCACTTTTTAAGCAAGTGTCGTCAAGATGTGTGTGAAATCAAAAAAACTCACACATGTCAAAAGTTCTTTTTAAAACCAAAGTACAGTGGCAATGGGTCATTCACCCACTTCAAACCAAATCAAATTCAACTCCAAATTTTGAGTCACTCACTCATTTCAAATCAAATCAAGTAAAATTTCAAATTAAATGAGTCATTCAATCATTTAAAATCTCATTCAAATAAATTTCAGAAATTCTTTTTGAACTACGTCTGACTTAATTTCAGTTTTGCATACGTAGGCAATTCAACATTTACTTTGGACAGACACAATCGTAATTTCAAATCACCTTCAATTAAATTCCTAAAATTCATGAACTACGTTAGAATTGATTTCATTTTTGGATATGTAGGCAGTTCAGTATCTACACTGGGCATAGTGGCAAGTCAAAATCAACTCCAATTAAATTCTTAAAATTCATGAACTACAACTAACTTGATTCCCTTTCAGATACGTAGGCAGTCTAATTAAACTAGGCGCAGTCACAAATCCAAATCAACTTCAAATAAATTCTAAATTCTTTTCGAACTACATTCGACTTGATTCCATTTCGGATACGTAGACAGTCCAGCATCTACACTGGGCACAGTCACACCCCTAAATAAATTCCAAAACTTCTGAACTACGAATCGACTTGATCCCGTTAACGGGTACATAGAGCAACCTAAGTAACTAACCTAGGTCTAGCCGCAACTACAAATAAAATATTTCTTTTTCCATTCCCTCGTAAGGTAAATAGTGATAGGTGATAATTTCTTGCTGGAATCAAAAGGGTGTTCCTTTGAAGCAAGGGATTGTAATTAACGGATATACGCTATTTGGAATGGGTCTAAGCTACATTAACAAAACTCGTATAATTCATCGTTATATGAGTGAAGTCATGTTCGAAAAAATATTTAAATTTTTGTCCAATTAAGTTGTAGCTTAAAGATGCATAGTAACCATAATCTTTTTTATGATGCAACATATCCCAGGATTCTTAGAGCACAAACCTGAATAAGAATGATATTTGCACCCTTCGCATGAGAAGCTCTCACCAACCTGCATAGAAAATAACCTCTTAGAAACATTAAAACTGTGTGCCACACCACAAGAAGAAAGAGGGAAAAAAAGTTACTATATTCCACCAGATAAACCCAAAAAAGGTGAAACATGAATGAGAGGCATACATACCACATAAGAAGCAGAAAGATTATTTACCAGAAAAAGGAAATAGATGCCGAGCTGTTCAAACAGAATAGCTCCACACAATGCTTAAAGGTGTTCCAACAACTAGAGTCCAGCAGAAGTTGCAAATTTGCAGGATTTTTTACATGGGACTCCAATGGTTCTGCAAAATTTAGTTTTAGCTTTACCACTCAAATAACAAACCCCCCCCCCTTTCTCTCTCTTCCCAACCCTGAAAAAATGCGGACCCTGGTAAAGGAATTGGAAATTGACATGTGCTCACAAATCCTATTCTATTATTATAAGAAAAGTTCTTCTTTTCTTTGTTAGGATATATATTATTTACATTCACAGGAAAACAGCTATAAAACAAAAAGGAGAGCTGGCATATTACAAGAACCGGAGAATAGTTCTGTACATTGATCCTACATGGAGTTTTTAAGATGATCCTACAATTTAATAGACAGGCTGATCATCTTTCCCAGATTTTTTTGCAGCTAAAATTTGCCCTTATTTAACTGCGATTGACTGGTCTTCCTTGTTCGGTACCACTTTGCAAAAAAATACAAATAGTGGATTACAATAATTCATAGAACACAACAATTTTGTCCCATGTTTTAGATGAATTAAAAGGTGCAAATTAAAACCTGGTGAATTATTTCTTTGCCTATTCACTGCAGCTTATAGTTGGAATGTCATCACATTTTCTGGGTTTTTTTATGCCAGCTTTGAGAAATTCCCAACCACATAGCCTCATACAAGCATTAAATCAAGAAATCTTTCAATCTTAATAAACAAAACTACAACCAACAAGTCTACTTGATCATACTCTCTCGGATGTCCGAATTGCAAATGAACCGTATGACCCCTAAGCATTATCAAGATAACCAAACAGCCGGTATGGTACAAGAATTACTATCGAATTCATTTGTATAAATCACATTGCAACAG